AGTCCATATGACTTACCCTCACCACAATCAACAGGTTATCTTGCACTTGGAGTGCTTTAGGGAATAGCTTTGGACATTCATATGTTCCAAGTGCTCAACTGAATTTTCATAGCTTAGTTTTCCCTTTGAACCAAGTTCGTGGGATCTCCACTCAGCATGGTAGGGTTACCACTATGATCATTCTTTACATTGTGGATTTTTAAGCCCATTCCCTCTAGCAAAACTGTCAATAGATCTTTATTCAATCCTTTCGTCAAAGGATCAGCCAAATTTTCCTTAGACTTCACATAGTCAATGGAAATAATACCATTTGTAATCAATTAACGTACGGTATTATGTCTACGCCGGATATGTCTAGACTTACCGTTATACAAGTTGCTTTGCGCCCTACCAATAGCAGCTTGGCTATCACAGTGAATCATCACAGGCGGCAAAGTCTTATCCCAACATGGAATATCGGATAAAAAATTTCTAAGCCACTCGGCTTCTTCACCAGCTTTATCTAAAGCGATGAACTCCGATTCCATCGTTGACCGAGCTATACACGTTTGTTTTGTGGATTTCCACGAAATTGCACCTCCTCCAATACAGAAAACATATCCGCTAGTGGAGCGAGAGTCTCTCGAATCTGATATCCAGCTTGCATCACAGTACCCTTCAAGTACCGATGGATATCTCGAGCATTTTAACCCGTATTCAAGGGTGTACCTCAAGTACTTAAGTACCCTTTTCAAAGCATTCCAGTGCTCATGACTGGGATTGCTCGTAAATCTGCTCAACTTATTCACCGGATAGGCCAAGTCTGGTCGTGTACAATTTGTCAAGTACATCAGACTCCCTATTATCCGTGAATATTCCAACTGAGCCACTGATTGACCTTTGTTGACTTCCAGATTTATACTGAGTATCAAGGGGTGTCTACACCTAGACTGTGCACCGTCATAGGTATCAAATTTTTTGAGCACTTTCTCTACATAATGAGATTGTGACAATACAATACCATCTTGGGTTCTGATAATTCTTATTCCAAGAATAACATCAGCCAATCCCATATCTTTCATGTCGAAATTTCTTTTCAACATTCTTTTTGTATCCATGATCAC